TGGCCCGTGGCTCCAAGCCGGGGTCCGTCGGGAGCTGCCGCTGCGTTAAAGATGCACAGCACGGGCTGTACCGTCCTGCGTGTTCACGCCTCCAGTCAGTGGCACGGGCGGCCACGAGCTTGTGCGGCCATCACCACCCTCCTCCCAGAACATTGTCGTCTTTCGCAACCAAACCGGTCCCCGTTAAACAGTGACGCTCCCTTCTCCCCCGCAGCCCCTGGCACCCACCGCTTCACTGCTAGCTTCATGCAACAAAACGAAAAGAATTGTTCATTACAACGAGCTTTAAGAAGTAGGGAAAATGGTCATTAGGGTTCCGAAACGCATGTGCTGACCAGCTCAGATAGCTGGGACGAGCAGAACCTGGCCTGACGGGCGGGCCTCGGCAGGGCAGCAGCTCCCAGGGCCCGCAGAGCGCAGCCCTGGCCACGGGGCAACCTCACAGACGTAGTACTGAGCAAAGAGTCCAGACGCATCACATAGTTCAACTGGCAAAGTTTAAAGCAGGCGAAAGCAACGGACGGTGAAGCGAGTGGGAGCAGGAGTCCTCAGAAGGGGCAGTGCCGAGGGCCGTGAGGAAGCCCTCCCGCGGCACTGTGCCGAGCGTCTCAGCGGGGACGGGGCTGCGGGTAACGGATGTTTCCTTTGTGAGAACTCCCAGACGTGCATTTATGACACACATGCGTATTTTCTGTGTGTACACTGTATTTCAAAATTGGCTTATACATACAGGTGCAAGGGAGCTTCAGAAAGTTCACGGAAACGGAATGAATAAATATTACAGATTTCCCACCAACTTTTTTGAAGGCCCCACATACATCCTTTAAAGAATGCTTGTAGACATTTAGTTTTGTTTTGAGAAAAAGTACATAAGTAAAATTACTGAGAGCAGTGGAAGTTCCTTCGGGTCCAAGGAGTCTATAACTTATTTCCTAACACTCGTGTTGACATTCGAGACCTTATGACGTATGGCTCGCGGAGAGCAGACCGAGGTGAAGCTGTGAGTTGATGCCCCTGTTGGTCACCGGCCACACGTGCCCAGGGGCCCGACAAAGAATAAACGAGGGGCAGACCACTAGCTCGGGCTGCTCCTGGGTTGTAACCGGTAATGAGCGTGAAGGAGAGGTGGGAAGACACGTCTGGGCCTGCCGCAGTGCCCTGGCAGCACCAGCACCCACCATCGGGAAGCCACGCGCAGTGGGGTCCAGGTTGGAGTCGGCCTGCGCGTTCCAGGAGAGGGCATTTCCCCGAAAGCCACGCGCAGTGGGGTCCAGGTTGGAGTCAGCCTGCGCGTTCCAGGAGAGGGCGTTTCCCCTTGACAGGCTGGCTGGGAGGGCTGGTGCTGGAGGGTTAGCCCTGGGGTCCAGTGCGGGCCTCTCCCTCTCTCCCACAAGAGAGATAAATGAATGAATACGCCCACCCGACATCGTCCAGGGAGTGCCGTGGTGCTGGCACTGCAGTGGCCCAGCTCCAGCGCTCGGCATCTCAAGGCTCCTCATGTGACTTTCACGTCCCGCGTCCCCGCAGTTATTGCCCCAGTGCCGAGGCCTGGTGTCCCCTGAGAGCTCTCTCGGCTGCGCTGAGGGGTTTCCCACCTGGCCCCGGCCCCTCCTAACCTTTGGAGCAGCGAGCAACCTTTGACCTCCCACGTCTGCCTCTGGCCGGACCACGGGAACCCGGGACGGCGACCGGAGCCCGCCCTCAGGGAGGCGAGCACGGCTCTCACGCCCTGGGACAAAGCCGTCATTCGCTCCTCTCCCCGCTGACTCTCAGGTTTGTTTCTTGGGGAGCGAGAAGGTGCCCGTGACCGTCTTGCCACCGAGCTCCTCCCAACCACCCTCTGCCTAGCTGGGACGGAAGGCACAGGCCACTGCACCCGCACGGGCCACCACGCCTGCATGGGCAGGTGAGCTGGACAAGCTCAGCCCTCCCGTGTGGCTCCAGCCCCCACGGCAGTGCCCTTCCCTGCCACCCACCAGGCCTCTGTCCATGGCTTTTTGTAAGTCTTTTATTTCCCCCATGAGTGAGAGACAGAGACACAGAGAGAGACAACACCCCCACCAGGGACTTCGGCTGCAGTCCACCCAGCCTCGCCAGCCCAGACCAAGGACAGGCGGCCAGGAGCCTTCTGTGTTGTGCGCCTCGTGGGGCCGCTGGTGCTGCCGCTGCCCTGTCCAGCGCATCTTGGCTCCAGCCCCCACGGCAGTGCCCTTCCCTGCCACCCACCAGGCCTCTGTCCATGGCTTTTTGTAAGTCTTTTATTTCCCCCATGAGTGAGAGACAGAGACACAGAGAGAGACAACACCCCCACCAGGGACTTTGGCTGCAGTCCACCCAGCCTCGCCAGCCCAGACCAAGGACAGGCGGCCAGGAGCCTTCTGTGTTGTGCGCCTCGTGGGGCCGCTGGTGCTGCCGCTGCCCTGTCCAGCGCATCTGCCTTCAGTAGACACACTCCCTCTCTTATTCATGTCAGCACCCTGCGTTCCTCCACACACACGCATTGTAGACCTCAAATAACTGAGAAAACATGCAAGGACGAGGCCAGCCTTCTCCTGCCGTTTCAAGGGCAGACTGGGTGTGGTGACTCAGGCGTGTGCCCGAGTGCCGGGGTGGGGGGAGAGACGAAGACACACGATGCAGCGAACAGGCAGAGCCAGGCTCTACGCGGACACGCACACCTCGACGGGCGGCCTTACTTACGCGTTTATTGCCAGAGGGCATGTGCACTGCAGGAAGAGACCAAGCGGGGTGGAGAAAGCACCCCACTTCTCCATTTCCCCATCTTGTCAGGGTTTGGGGCACACGTGTGCATGTACACATGCCGGTGGTGCCAGGATTTGAACTGTGGATAGCCGTGTGGGACCCGGCTCCCTTGCTGATAGGCTGCAGACCAGCACAGACCAGCATTAGCGAAACGCTGACTGCCCCAGGGGACCGAGTGCTCCAACTCAGCAACCTCAGTGGCCGTCAGGGGACGTGGGCCCTCCCTGAGACCTCCCAGTGCTGCTGGCCATCGCCAAGGTCTCCCTGGCCTGGCCTTGTGGACACGTTGTGGGGGAGGTGCAGGGGTGTGTGCGTGCACACGCGTGTGAGTGTGCTAACTGCAGAGACACGAGGAAGA